TTCAGGTCCCCACGGGCTTCAGCGTGGCTGCGGGTGTCCGCGTGGGAAACGCGCTGGGTGCGGGGAACATCGAGCAGGCAAGGAAGTCCTCCGTGGTGGCCCTGCTGGTCACAGGTGCTTAGACCCGGCTGTCCCAGGCCTGCAGTGCGGTCTCCCTCATGGGACCCTGGCCCCCGTGCTTTCTGCGGACCCTCGGTCACTTGTTCCTTCTGCGTTTTACCTCCAGAGCTCTTTGCCGTGGCCATTTGTGTCCTGCTGTTGAGCTGTAAGGACTTTGTGGGCTACATTTTCACTACGGACTGGTGAGTGCGGGGGTTTCCTTGGCATGCAAAGTCGGTGATGAAGGATGGTGAGGTTGGGTAGACACTGTCACGGGCAGAGGGGCCCTTGGGGAGGGGGTCTGAGCCATGTGCAAGGTCAGAAACTCCACTGATGATACCCGGGGAGAACCGGTTGGAAGCAGGAACTGATTTACCATCTAGACGGCCAGTTGGATGGGCGCTGGTGACGATATTATGCCTCTGGTGCTGAGAACACTTGTATTTTAAAAAACCCTTTCTGTTACCATCGATTACATTTTCCGTTAATTACTGTGTTCTCCATGACAAGAATCGTCTTGGCATCTCTGTATCTGCCAAACTGCCTGGTTTGTAGTACAGTCACGTACCACATAATGATGTTTGCTTCAGCAGGGGACTGTATATATGACAGTAGTCCCATGAGATGACAACGACTATACCATAGAGCCCAGGTGTGTGCAGGTGCACTCTGTGATGCTCACACAATGACAACATCGCCTAACGAGGCATTTTTTAGGAGGGATCCCCGTTGCTGAGTGACACTTGACTGTAGTTGCATAATATAATGTGTTAGGTGAAAAGGGCAAGGTGTAGAATAGAGAGAACGCTTGTATAAAACGATAGAACATAGCAGGGGAAATTAAGAATATACATTTGGATTTGCTTGTATTTCCATAAGCACTAGACAGGTACAGAAAGTACTGAGCGCTGTCACCTGGAAGGGCTTGCGCTGGGCTGGGCTGGACTGAGAGCAGAGCGGCCACGAGACTTTCCTCGCTATGCTGCTCTCCTCACACTGTGTGATTTCTCTTAGCCACTTCCGCATGTCACCTCTTCAAAAACACAATAAAATATTATCAAAAGAACAACATCTCTGTCCTTTTGGCGGCAGGGGGAAGAAGCAAT